AAAATCCCTATACGGCATGTCCACGATCCGCGTACACCCATCCTCCTTGAATAGGTCTTTTGATGAGGGATGACTTGACGAAAGTGCTGATTCACTTTCGAATAGTTTCCATACGTCGCCGGTGTGCGACAGTGCAGCATCGGGGAGATCATCCTCTTGTGATTGGTCAGTGGCGGGAACCTGTTCTTCCGCGTTCACGTTGGGAAAGGAGTCTTCCCTTGTCTCTTTACGAATGTCTTCGGTCTGGAGAATCGTTGGAAATTGGTCATCTCCAACGAGTAGCTCTTGCTGTTGATCATCGAAGTTTTGTTCGTCGATGAGAGAGGATGAGCGTGGGAATAGAAAGTGAATGCTGTCGAGTTCTTTCAACAGGCTTGAGGTCGGAGAAATCCGAACGTCCTCAAGGGCAGCTCTCACTGGCATTCCTTTGTGTTCCTCATTCGTGGATATCGTTATCATGTGTGGGTCTACAGAGCGAACGTATCCTTTTTGCCACTTGCCAAGCTTCGGTCCGCGCTGAAGAAATACACCCTTTGCCCCTTAGTGAGGGAGTCTCGGAGGAGTACGTGGGGAGACCGACCATTGTTGAGAAGTCGCAGTGCTCTGCGAGCAACTTGTTCTTCATGCGCAATGACGAGTTCCTTGGAGACTTTGCTCTGTGGCAAACCAGCAACCGACGGAGTATATCCACGTGCCATTTCGAAACTGCTCAACCTCTTTGCGCCGTACAGCACGTTACTGAGATATGTTGCGCGAGAGAGAACGTCGGCATGGGTGTATTGTATACCTCGAGACGCCTTGAAGAATTCAGCATCGTTGAGTATGCGCTGTGAGATTATGCGCACAACGGCATTCTTGCTTTCGACAACACCGAGTTTTTTGTGCCTCCGAGCTGGGCGGTCTTTAAACTCAATGTCATAGTAATTCAGAAATTCCCGAAAAGCTTTGCTGTTGAATTCCTGATCTCCAGACATTCGAGATGGCGGTCCGTGCACTTGACACCAGTGGCTGTCGATGGCTCTCGTAGCTGCTTCCATTTCTCTTGAATCCATGATGATTGTTACTGAAAAAGCCGTCTGTACATCTACAAGGTGCAGAATTGGGACATTGTCCATCTCTGCGATGTACATGTAGTCGATTTGTACATGGGCATTGAAAGTGGACAGTATCTTGCCGAAAGAAACCTTGCGGGAGGCCAAAGGCCTTCCAGTAGACTTACAAGATGTGCAGTTATTAACGACTTGTTTCAGTGCTTGCCGAAGGACAGGGTTCATTATCCCTCCTCTCCTGCAAAGCTCAATCATATCAGTCGAAGGCAGATGGGTATATCCATGAAGCTTGGTGGCAAATCGCTTCGCCACCTTCCCATGTGCGTAGTAGCCTTTCGTCAAAGCTCTGTTGTCTTCAGGTGCGGCGCTGAGCGCCTGGTAGCTTACAAAGTAGGACTTGAACGAATTTGACTTGGCAGGGACCACGAAGAGATACGTTCTCACCCGATCCTTGTCCGTTTGAGAAACAGGCTCGTTGTATGTTTGGAATGTGAGGGCTTCCTTAGAGAGTTCACATACGCCTGGTGGAATCTCAAGTATGTTTCTCGGGCCGAGGAGGTTGGACTTATGAATAATTTCATTTCCTAGAAGAAGTACGCCTTTTCCAGGCGTAATGTAAAATGGGATCGTGACATGATTACCTTGCATGTCTTCCAACGGAAGGTCCCAGATGGCTACTGCAAGTTCAGCTTCGCTACAGTGCATTCCATAGCCGTGATAGAACGGCTCACAGTCGAGTGCACGAAGAATCAGGTCTATTCCAAGTGCTTGGCACAGTGCGGCAGCTGAGTCGGTACCGCCAACACTGCGAGGACAACCGACATCAAGGACCGGATTGGGGTCCGATTTCCCGACAGCGACGTCCGATGCGGCCCCACGTCCGGTAACGAGACTTAGTTGCGTCTCTCTCCCGCACTGGAGCCTTCCTGAAAAAACCTGGCGGGCTTCTTCGAACCCGGTTGCGGACGTCCTGACTCTTTTTGTCGAATTCTTTTCGTCAGGTACCTGGGAAAAGGGCATTTCAGGTCACCTCTGTAGTGATCTTTCTCTCCGCAATCATAACAGACTTGTTCGCTGGTTGCTTGGGGGAGAGAACTGCCTCTCCCGTTGCCCCTTTTTTGTGGCCGTTTCTAGACCGCTTCTGTTTTTGACTCATTTTAAAGACATTCGGAGCGTCTGCATATGAAGTTGCACCAGCAGTTTGATGTTGGTTTTGGCGGGGTTGAGCAATCCCGCCCTTGAACAGAAGAGCTAAGAAGAGTTTTCTGTATGCCACGGTGGACGATGTCTTCAATCTCCTTGGCAGACAGGGACGCAGCGTTGCTGAGAGAAGAGACACTTAGGTTACGGAGCACAGATACAGCATCGTCAAGATGAAGCCTACAGACGTCCTTAGTCGCCATGATGATTTGAGCGATCGAATCCTGCTCAGTATTGGCCACATCGGGGGCAATCAGAGCATCAAGTTTATGAGTCACGGATTTTGCAGCCTCTTTGACTTTGTTGTGGGTTTCCGTTATCACGGTTCTCAGAGTTTGAATAGTGCGAGCTGATGAATTTGGAGAAATTTCCACAATCTCTTGCACCATATTCCGGAGATCTGAAAGAGCTTCGACAGACACCTGCTTTATGTCCGCACTATTTTCATTCCCCTTTCGAGCTTCTGCAAGCCCAATGAGCTGGAGGTTTGCATTTGTGAGCGTCCCTTCTTCAAGGTTTGCATTGTTGAGAAGGGTAATGACCAGCACCTCCCCAATCTGGGATGAAGCAGAGGAGTTGCTGTGCATTAGGTGTTCGGCAGCTAGGCCTCGAAAGCGGGAAATAAAGATCGGAAGTTCTTCTCCCTTCTTTCGGCGACAGGTAGAGACTCTGTTGAAAGAAGTTATCAGGCGAGTGACCATGGCAATTGGAGGGTCGACGGCGACCAGTTCGACAATGTCTCTGACGGCTGCATTCTGGTCATCTTGCTTGTAGTCAATAATTTTCTTTGCCTGAGCCTCATCCACAATAGATTGTTGAGGCGTTGGTAGACCACGATCATACAGCTGACGCCCGAGGGTGGCGTAAAACGTTTTATACGTCTTGTCATTTCCTCGCTGGGCTGCTGATGCAATGAGATCTACCCAACGAGATACCTTACGGCGCCAGTCTTGCGGATCACCAAACGGGGAAAAAAGGGGAGGATCGAGATAGAACCTGTCCTTCTCATTTGAGATCCCTGGGCCCATAACTGCAGTAGAACGGGTTCAGTGGTGCGTAGGGTGAAGGGACGGACGGCACGGAAGGGACGAAAGTATCCGTTCTAGCTCGTGCGCAGCAGGAGCCCCCGGGGGTCTGGGTACCCTATACTTTTGCCTATCCTTCCGTTTGCCCCTGCTGCGCACGAGCTAGAACGGATACTTTCGTCCCTTCCGTGCCGTCCGTCCCTTCACCCTACGCACCACTGAACCCGTTCTACTGCAGCTACAGTATGCACTCCACCCATTCCTTTTAATAGAACATGGCATCACCTCCCCTTGCCTTTGAAATCGCTTCTGATCAGTGCACTTCTTCCTATCGCGGCTGACTTCTCCCCGTTTAGTCCTTATCAACTATCATACCAACACACATCGCCTCCTAGCACTCCCATAGGGCTGCCTTTGCCACGAGTCTGACAACTGCAACCCACTTCCCTACCTTATGCTGTCATGTGTGGATGCTGTGTTACTATAGAGTAACACAGCATCCACACATATATCGGGCCAGGGAGCTCTTCTTGGGAGATCTTAATGTCTCCGCGGTTGTCAATATCAAGACACGGAACACCAAGGACTCACTTCCTTTACTATCGATCAAACGTGAACTGATTTGTATTATACTCAGATCATCTCTCGAGCATTCGTTCACTACTTCATTGTCCGTGCCATCGTAGATTACTCTCAAAATCCTTTTCGATGGTTGATACAAAAGTGCTGAAGAAGGACAACAAATCGGTATGGACTAAGTCGACGGATGATTTTGGTTTGTTGTAGCCGTAGGCACACAAGTTTGAAGTGAGAAGGGTTTCAACTTCACTTTTGTCAACGTTAAGCTGTTGTGCTACAAACAAACAAAATTTGCTTCTTCCTGGCATATTTTGTCATTCATTTTCTTGGCAGACAATCGAACATTGTAGTAGATTGTTGTGCGAAAGTATCATTCACGAAAAAGATGGAAACAAGGATGATGAAGAAAGCAGAACCTTTTGAACAGATGGGTGTTTGTCAACGAGATACTGAACTCAAACAAGAACTGAAGTACGCTCTTCCGGTTTTGTTGAATGGAAGATGAATGGTTTCAATGCAGACAACATCTCAAGTGGATAAGTGTTAAACGCAACCAAGAAACTAACAAGGGATGGGGCTAACTTGAAAGGAACAAGTGGATACACGATAAGGGGGCTGGGTTAGTGCCCTCATACCTGATGTGGGCTCTCGTTCTGTGTACATATCCAGGTCATGAAGTTACAGTAACACCTGCCATGAGTGGTTTTTGTCAGTGTTTACCTCTACGGTTAAATGAAAGGGGTATGAATTCGTCACATCATAAATGGTTAACAGCCCGTGAATGAAGCTGCTATACCTGACCACACTGAACAGTTAATAGATTGGCTATTTGTCGCCAAGATGTTTTGCAGTACATCAAGCTATGGATTGTGATAGTATCGCTGCAGCTGAACTGCGACGAAATTTTTGGTTTTAAGAGCGTTTTGTTTAACGTCTCTGAAAGACGCGACACACTGAAGTATGCGTTCCGAGGATTGCCAAAAATGGGAGAAACGGCATCATGGAAGGAGGTCAGTCGCATATATTGAAATGCTTTGTTTTTTGGTGACGTATGGGACAGCGTTGTATCAGCGACAAATGAGAGATACTGGTTGAAGGAGTCCTTTTTCTGCTATAAACACAGGCTGATCTAAGAAGCACTCTGTCATAATCAAGACCACTGCAAGAGACTGGTGGATTGTTTACTGCTCATTAATAGAATGTTGAATCTTTGTTTGCAGGCCTCCAAAAGAATCCACATGTATCTTGGTTACAATGCGTGATGTTTCGGATGCAGATTTTGTATCAGAAAAGATTGAGTGCAAATTGAAAGTGTGGCAGAAGTAACGGATATTTTTGAGCATGATGCTCTTGAAGATGTGGAGGCTTAATTTTTGACACACAAGGTTGGCAGCACTCACGATGCTTTCGACATTATATCATTACGGTTCGGTAGACGTTGATATGGAAGCATCGTAGGCTCCTCCAGCATCATTCGCGGGTAATTCGAATGCTTTGCGAGGCATGAATCGGGCTCTGGCGGTGTTGGGTCGAGCTCCTCACTGACCGAAGTGAAGGTTGGTGCGGGGAAGGCTTGGCTGCCTTATAGAAGGATGGACCAGTGTCATATCGAGTATGGAGCCTTAATTATATCCTTTCATAAGCTATTTTATTTTGTGCTAGATCCGGTATAGTGCACAGTGACTCGGTTTAAGGCGATGGGCTTGGAAGTCAAGACCTGAAATCACACGTGTGAGAACGGGTCGCGGACGTGGCAAAGGTGGGGACAAGGTTTCTTGTGAGCACAATGCGCACATGACGAATGTGTGAAATGCTCGTAACCACGGAAGGCTCTTTGCTTCCTTGAATCCGTCCAGGAGGAGAGCAAATATTTTCTCCTCCCAAAACTTAATTCTAGCCCCACTCCGCAGTCCTGTTTCAACCTTTGCGCAATTACGCAGCCCTGTCCATCCCTCCCACTCTACCAGACCTGATAGACCAAGAATGTCAACATCTCGTCCGCGACTCCGCTTTCCGTCATTTCATTGAAGACACCATCTTCACCACTATACGACTCCCATGACGTCTGACACCAGCCCCTCGTCAGCCACCGCAACCACCAACTCCTCTTCCCCACACTTTGTCCCCCGTTCTATCCTTCTCACAGGCGGTGCAGGCTTCATCGGGTCCCACGTCGTCGACCTACTCATCTCCCGCTATCCTGAATACCACATCGTTGTTATCGACAAGCTTGACTACTGCGCCGCCGTTGATAACATATCACCCCTTTTCGGTCGGACAAACCTCCGATGGTGTCGCGGTGACATCCGCTCCAAATGCCTCGTCGATTACCTGCTCCGCTCAGAGAATATCGACACTATCATGCACTTTGCCGCCAGCACCCATGTTGACAATTCGTTCCATTCCTCAATTTCCTTCACGTCCAATAATGTCGTCGGCACCCACGTGCTGCTCGAGGCCGCAAGGGACTACGGTGGTGTTAAGCGCTTTATTCATGTTTCTACGGATGAGGTCTACGGCGGTGAAACAGATTTTGAAAAGGAGGAATCTATGCTCTCACCGACCAATCCTTACGCGTGTACGAAGGCCGCTGCGGAACTTATCTGTCGCGGCTATGCAAAATCCTTTGGCATGCCTATTATCATTACCAGAGGGAACAACGTGTACGGCCCGCGCCAGTATCCGGACAAGCTCATCGCGAAGACATGCTGTTTACTTTCGAGGAAAAAGAAGGCCTTCATTCATGGAGATGGCTCGCACTCGAGGAATTATGTCTATGTCACAGACATAGCTGAGGCCTTTTCAATTATCCTTCACAAGGGCAAAGTCGGCAGCGTTTACAATGTCGGTTCAGACGATGAAAAGACCAACTTGCAGGTTGTGCGCGATTGCATCCAAGCGAGCGACATGAGTGATCCAGAGAATCTCAACGCCTGGATTTCGTTTGTAAAGGACAGAGAAGTCAATGATGCACATTATCGCATTGACTCAACCAAGCTCTTGCACCTTGGATGGGAGATCAGAACGCCATGGAGAGATGGGATTCGGAAGACGGTCCAGTGGTATGCTGATGAAGACAACCTCAAAAGATGGCCTGATTTTATGCGAGGACTGGTTCCTCATCCCACTCTAGACGCTGCATCGGTAGACGATATGAGCGGCATGATCAATTTCTAGTCTTCCATGCCCGCCGCTATGAGTGGGGATGCGGATGCGCTCCGGAAGAAGCGTCAAGTTATCAAAACAACAGCTGGAACATTGTGGGATACTGGGCTTTTTTAAGCAGAGAGTGCAGGAACATAGGGAGGTGCTACAGATACATTTGATAAGGAACGAAGGGCTGAATGTCCAATTTACCCCGGATAGTGCATTCGCACATTTACCATTTTACCTCATTTTCGTGTGCAAAAGAAGAAAACGTTGCAATGGTCTTCTGGCAACCGTTTGACTCCATCACAACTGAATCCAAGCTCTCGAATCAGTTCCAATGCTCGGTCATTTCCCCACATTACTCCCACAGCCTCTTCGTCCTTGTTCGTTTTGAACAAAGTTGCGGGCACGAGGAACATAACCGAAATTGTATACAAGAGGGGTCCCGCCGGATGCGCACAGTTTAGTCTTGGGTCACTGCTCGCAGCAACGTCTTGAAGCAGAAAGGTACCTTTGGGTCGCAGAGCTTGTTGCACTCTCTGTATGACATTTCGAACGTCACCGGTTTCGACAAGTCTTCCAAAGCACGTAATGAGATCAAATGCAGAGTATTCGGACGTCTCTGTGATTTGCTTGCATTTGAAGCGAAGGTTCGAGAGCCCTGCTTTTTCAGCCGATTCAATTGCAACTGCGACATTTTTTGGATTCGAGTCATACCCGATGAACCAACTGCGATGAAATTCCTTCGCTAAGGTGAATAGGTTTAATCCGGATCCACACTCGATATCCAAAACATCGATTCCATGACGCAATGCGTCTAATATATCACCCTCCAAGGGAAGAATCCAGTCGATAAGCGAAGAAGCAATGGTCTGTGCAGCATCTGCAGCCATGATAGATTTAAGCTCATCAAATTCACTCACCGGAACGCCCTTCCCGCTTCGAAAGCACTCTACCGATTTTGTTTCGAAAGAGGAAAGAATTGAGATATACTGAGAAAGAACCGCGACATTCTCAGGTCCACGTCCCCACGTAAGGAATGCAGCATTTTCCGGTGGAAGGAAGTACTTGACGTCCGATTTATCGCTTGGGTGTTCTTCGGTGCAAACAATTCTTCCGACGAGCATAGTGGCTAGCCACTCTCGCACGTATCTCTCATGCAGACCAACACAGGCAGCGAGTTTTCGTGAGGTGACAGGTGGCAATGCAGCCATTGTCTCGAACAATCCAGTTTTGTGTCCGATTGAAATCATTATAGTGAGGGCTCCATTGTTGAGAAGTTTCAGCAAGCGAGATCCAAACTCTTCGACTTTTTCAGGATCTAGTTGCACGTCTTCAGTAGAACCTTCGACATCCCACGCCGGCACTGCCATTGAAGTGACGGCTTTCTCATTACTTGGTTGCATAAGCATTTTGCTCGCTCTTTCAAACTCACGGAAGGTTGCTCAACCGGATCACTTTGTCAACAGAGTTGCTCGGTTTTTGTGAGTACAATGATAAAGCGGGCCAGTGAAAACACACTGAAGGCTGAATATGGTCAAGCTATTTTTTTTGGTTCCGGAAAGGTAGCGGCACCCAGAGTCACACAGGTCGTCGTTGACAACGTTTTGAAGCTATTTCAGCTTTACTGTGACTCTAAGCAGAACGGGTCTGTTGTCCGGTATATGTTATAACGCTTGCGTTATAGCACTTTGATGAGAATTTGAGCCCAGCGTCCTGCAAGTTGGCGCTTCGAATTGAAGAGCGATTACGAATTCACATACTGACGAAAGCTTTTGACCATCGGAAAGGGACAGTTATCGCAAAGGCGAGCATTCCCGGTTGCTGTTTTTTATGTCTTCTCGGTACAACTAATAAAATATCCTGTTTTTCGAGGAGGATCAATTTCGGGCTGTAGCGCTTTGTCTTCAGATGCTCAATGCTGTTTTTCTTCTGCCAATAGTCACGAGCCGTGTTCTATTTGCACAAAGCACAAGGCAAGTGTGTCTAGAGAGTGCAATTACAATTTCTCCGCTTCTGGCCTGGGAGAGGAAGCCATGGCTTGCAGAAGGGACGAAAGCATCCATTGGTATATTCAGCCTCCTCCGCATTCGAAATACTTTGTAGATGACTCCTTACAAATCAGTGCTGCACAAAATCAAGTTGCTTTCTAAAAACCAGAAACGCAGAGTAGGGTCATTCCACTAGAGGTGACCTTTCAGTTTGCAATTTGAATCGAAGAGGAAGATTCAACAAATCGTCTAAACGAAGCCGTGCTTCTGCAGTGCGGCAATGTGAGTTTCTCAATGCGCGCCGAGGTCTTTTTTTTTTTGCTTTTTTCACGCAAAGCGCGAAAACAAATATGTAAATTCGAGGAGCATAGGCGGGTGAGGTATCACGATGTCTTCAGCAGACACTCCATGTTGAGCTGAAGAACGACGTCTGCGACTTCTCTCTCCTTTCGCGAGGCGGGGAGCAGCAACGCGGACATCGACTGATGTGCCCTTGATAGGTCTCTCAAACGGCCTCGTTACTTGCCTACAGTGCAGAACATAAGTGTCGCGGGGAATACAGATCTTTGTGCGGCGGACGATATTGCGTGACCGATAAGGGAGGCAGGACGGTATGCCATTTTCGGGACAGGGACGTAACGCAGAGCAGGTCCACCGTCAGCCAAGTATCAAAGCAGCATCTCTTCCTCCAGTTGTCTTTTTTTGCTCTTCGACATTCGCCACGGTTGGCCCCCACTTCGATGCCCTGCGGCTCTTTTGCTTCTTTCCGGGTGCTGGACAGCTAAGGTCGGTTGCAACGAAACCGCGAGACATGGCGCAAGTATCAAAAACAGAAGGACATGGCCAAAAACAAAAGTGGGATTTACTAGACAAAAGATGATTGCAAGCTATGCGCAGCGGCAAAGATTGGGGTTCGACGTGTGCCGCGAGATGAGTGGTGGTCGCGCGAGCGGAAAGGGGAGCGGAAGGTGATAAATAGGGCGGCGGTTCGGGCTCGGCGCGCCTATCTCATCGAGAAGCGGATGCTCTTACCGCTCGGCGGGTTCGGCGCGTGTTGCGTACGCGGATCGAGGTGGGCGGGGGGTAGGTAAGCGGGGGGTAGATAACCAGAGGAAGGCGCGCCGCTGCAGTCGGGGAGGGGCAGTTGGCACGCAGGGGGCACGGGAGCCGCGGCGTAGAGCGGGGTGATGTCCTGCAGCGGGGAGCGGCACGTGGTTGCGGGGGTGAGCGCTGGCTTCTTTGGGGCGGAGGGGGGGAAGGGCGGCTTGGAGACGGGCGCGGGGAGGGCGCACAAGGGCTGGAGGGGCGGGATATTCTCCTTATCGGCTTCCTCGGGGGTGATGGGGGGGGAGTGTGCGGGTGGCTCCGGGGCCGCGGGCTGGGCCGGGGAGGGGGGGTGCTCCGGGGAGGGCGCCGGCGGGGGCGGGGAGCGAAGGTCGCAGAGGACTTGGATGGGGGACGGCGGTGGGCTTTGCATGGGGAGGGTGGGTGACGGGGAGCGAGATGGAGGGGAGGGTGGGGAGGGCAACGGGGGATGATGTGGCGGGAAGGGAGGGGATTCAAAAGGAGCAAGCGGGAGCCGAGAAATAAAGCGCATTTAACATCGCGCGCCGTTTGAAACGGCCACCTTGCCGCCATTTCCCCGTCCAAAAAAATAGCTCCGTGATCCATTCCCACTCCCTCCCTCACCCTCCTGACCCGCCAGCACCCCCACCCTCCCCTCCCCGTCCCATCAGTCCAGCCCGAGCTCCCGCAGCCGCGCGAAGGCGAGCATAGCGAGCAGCGCGTGCGGCGTGTTCAGCTCGCCGCGCTGGACCATTCCACGCACCTCGTCAAGCGGGACGCCCTGCTGCACGGAGATCCACTCCTCCTCATCCCTCTGCCCCGGGCGCTTATCCTGGTGTGCGTCGAGTGCGAGGAAGTAGTGAAACTCATTGAGCGAGTACTTATCGGCCGCGACGCCGTCCTGCGCGAGCCTTAGCAACGTGCCGCCCTTGAGCAGCGCCTCCTCGCTCATCTCCGCGCGCGCCGCGTCCTCCAGCGACGCGTGCCTGGCGCGCTCGAACATGCCGGCCACGAACGCGGGGGCGACGCGGTTGCGCCCGGGGCTGTACTCGCGCAGTAGCGTGGCCGTGCGCGTGGCCGTGTGGAACGGGAACACAAAGACGGACGTGAAGTCGCTGTGCGCGTGCCCGACCACGTCGTACGACACCGTCTGCCCCGTGGGGTAGCGCACCGTCCGCGCGTACACGGACTGGTACCGGTGGAACAGCCGCTCCTGCGACACGATGGTGAAGTCGCCCGCGGGCGGCGGCGCGCCGTCGCCCGCGCCGCCGCCGGCCGAGCTGCTGCATGTGCGCGCGCCGCGGCGGATTGAGCGGGCGCGCGCGGCCGCGAGGCGCGCGCCGGGCGAGAAGGCGGGGGCGAAGGCGAGCATGGCGCGGCGTCGCAAGGCGTGCGGGGGGGGCGCTCCGAGATGCGGAGAGATTACATCGGAGCGAGGCGGCGTGGGCGGGGCGGCGGTTGCGGAGGGGAGGAGGGTTTTGCATGCAGGTACTCGTCATCCGTGGATTTTCTGTTCGGTGGTGTGGGTTTATTTATCTAACTTTCAAGGGGGGGCTGTGGCCCGTACGGTCGCTCGGCGTTACACGTACACACGTACCGAGGACTGCCGGTAGCGCACGCCGTCGGTAGACGCCAATTGCAAGGGAAGGTCAATCCTCAATATATTTTTCTGCCTTGTCATGGCTCGCGTGTCATGCGTGTCATCCGTGCTGTTTCATTGCTGTCATGTCAGCAGACAACTAGGGCGCCGTGGTGGCATAAGTCTGCAAATACTGTATCTCAACATATGTGTATGAGATCATACACAGCGTTGGTAAGAGTGTCTGTATGGTTGCGGTGGGTGGCGGCTCGTGGTATCCGCGCGTGGCGCAGCGGTAGGGCGAACGAGGGGGGGAACGTTAGTCGCGAGAGAGGGATGTGGCGCGGCGAAGAAGGAAGGGCACAATGTCCCCCGGGGTCGTAAGATAGCCTGCTCTGGCCCGCCGGTGCGCCGACCAATTCTGGTCGGCGCTATTTCAAGAAAATTGTAGACCTAAATTATCCGTCGGCAGCGCCGGTCGCCGACAGCGCTTTAGCCCGCACACGTGGCCTATTACCACGTGGCCCAACTACACACCCCCCGTTGGCATACTTCGGCGCCGTCGACGGGAGGGGGGGGGGGGGGGGGCGTCCAACTAGATCTCTCCCGACGCTGATCCCGTGATCCGCACCGACGTATTCCAACACAAACCCTTATCAATCCCCATCTCCCTTTTCCGCATCGGGTGCACGAACACCGAGTTATACCGCGTCCTGTTTCCTGCCCAGCCGCAACTCCTTGAATCCCTTCCGCAATTACCCCTCCGAATCTTCCTCGTGCGCTTTCCCGTCTTGGCGTATTGCAATCCCTCGTGGTGTCTCGTCACGCAGCGCGCCCGTGCCGCAACACCCAACCGGAAGGCAGCTGAATATGAGCCCGAGGGCCACGGTACCGACCGGGAGGGTAGCGACGGGTGCTCAGGCGCAGCGAGGCATCACCACTGTAACATGCAGAGGGAGGAGATTCTCCTTCGCGAGCTTCTCCACCGGACGGTTGGCGTCTACCGTGGACCTTTTCGTGAAGGACACAATGACTACTGTGGGAGCGCGCGCGTTCTTCGAAGCGCTCCCCATCCCCAGCGAAAACGTCGCAGCCCTGTCTGCTTGGGTCGCGGCGAGGCCTACAGCGCGCTTCGGATTGATGTGGCTCCTTCTTGGCTTCACCGACGACCTCCGTGCCGCAGACCAGTATTGAAAATCGACATCGAAGAAAGTGATGGAAGCTGATGAAGGTGGTGGCAGGGTAAGGAAATGTGGGGATGTCGGTAAGGAAGGGAAGGCGTATGAAATTCACCGCGTCGCGTTCAGCTCAGGCCGGGACTCTCGATTCGTTGGAAGAGCGGACCCCCGGTACTTCGACCCGACCTTTTTCGAGGGGGACCGTGTACGTTCTGGCCCATTGCGTTTCACACAATTGAAACGCATCGGCTAGGAGGGGACTCCACCCTCGACGCTGAGCTGGGCAGTGGGATTGAGTCGGACTTGGAAATATCTCTTTGGCGGATTGGGCGGCAGGGGTGCTCTGTGGAACTTGTTTACAATCCGGGCCGGCAGGCAGCGTTTCTCGACGCACTCGACGATTGGTGCACGGAGCACCTTGACTGATTTTACACTCTGAGCTGTCACGGTGATCGTGGTCCGTCAAGGCATGCCGCCTCTCTGCATTCAAGCTTGCCGGTATTCGCAAGGTCCTGTCACGGCCAATGCTTGCGAGCAGCCTTGACGAACGACATCCATGCCTTGCAGGGACCCGAAATCGCCCTCAGCATGCTTTAGAG